TATGGATTAACCTCTGTATCTAACACAGGGCTAGGAAATAACCCCTGTATGTAACACAGGGCTAGGAAATAACCTCTGTATCTAACACAGGGCTAGGAAATAACCCCTGTATGTAACACAGAGCTATGAAATAACCTCTACATCTAACACAGGGCTATGAAATAACTTCTATATCGAACACAGGGCTAGGAAATAACCTCTATATCTAACACAGGGCTAGGAAATAACCTCTGTATGTAACACAGGGCTAGGAAATAACCTCTATATCTAACAGAGAGCTATGAAATAACTTCTATATCTAACACAGGGATATGAAATAACCTCTGTATCTAACACAGGGCTATGAAATAACCTCTATATCTAACAGAGAGCTAGGAAATAACCTCTATATCTAACACAGGGCTATGAAATAACTTCTATATCTAACACAGGGCTAGGAAATAACCTCTATATCTAACACAAGGATATGAAATAACCTCTATATCTAACACAGGGCTATGAAATAACTTCTATATCTAACACAGGGCTATGAAATAACCCCTGTATGTAACACAGGACTATGAAATAACCTCTATATCTAACAGAGAGCTATGAAATAACCTCTATATCTAACACAGGACTATGAAATAACTTCTATATCTAACAGAGAGCTATGAAATAACCTCTATACCTAACACAGGACTAGGAAATAACCTTTATATCTAACACAGGGCTATGAAATAACCCCCCTGTATCCAAATACAGGGCTATGAAATAACCCCTGTATCTAAACAGTATGAAATAAACCCCCTGCATCTGAACACAGGGCTAGGAAATAACCCCTGTATGTAACACAGGGCTAGGAAATAACCCTGTATCCTGGATTATGCCAGGAGCCAGATTCCCACCGGTGCCACTGGGATTTCAGAATCCCACCAGTGGCACTGGGATTTCAAATTCCCATCAGTGCCACTGGGATTTCAGACTCCCATCGGTGCCACCCTGGCTCCCAGGGCAGGTGTTTGTCCAGG